GCTGCTGTCGTCCGTCAGGTTGGTCTGGTTGCTGCCGTGGACAGTCAGGTTATTGGTGGCCCACGCCCGGTCCGCTCCGTCGGCGATAAGGAAGAGACAACAGAACGTAAGCAGGCTCCTCATCTCAGCGGCGGACTGGGGGCGGAGGCGCTCCGCACGTACACGCATCTTCCCACCAGCGGCCTCCCCGCAGGTTACACCGCCGCTCTGTTGCACTACAACGGTAAACTTGTCATTGTAGTCTCCGGTGTAAAACAACAGTTTGGACAGCCGGGTCCACATCGCGTCCGCTTCCCATTTTCACGTTGCCTTTATACCGGAACCTAAACATCACCCCGCCCTGTCCTGTCCCCGCTAGCACGGAGGAAACGCACGGCTCCCTCGCCGACGAGGAACGGAGTGGTCAGTACACGAACCGAAGCCTCGTCCTCCGTTTGTACGGTCTCTGTCTGAGGAAAACGGTGGTAGCTCCGCTGCCGTTTGCTTTTGGGGGCAGAGCTTTTTCGGTAAAGCTACCTAGAGTAAACGTAGGACTTCCGGCCACGAAATGCCAAAATAAAATCACTGGGTTCTATTGATGACAGCAGCTTATATGGTTGAACTAAATACTCAGTAAACCTAAAGTCCGAGGTGCGCCAAAGCCCGGTTTCACTGCATGGCAGCTGCCTTAGGTCACTGTTTTTGACATTTGAGCCGGTATTTGCAGTAAGTGGGCAATTCAGTTCGATTCAATTCAATTTTGTTTCTATAACGCCATATCACCGCAGAAACCATCTCAAGGCACTTTTCATAGGAAGGTCAACCTTACATTATTACAGAGGAAAATAGGAAGAGTTTAACACTGTACTGTCTCTGTATTTCATTACTGGCTAATGTATTAAAGATGTAAAACTAGAATGTAACGTAGGCTGTGTCACTGTCGATTCTGATTTTTGTACAGTGTTATGAAGCTGATAAATTTATGAAGGGTTATTGTCTCTCGGTGTTGTGTTCGATTCCTGTCAGAGCGTTAGCTTTCTGATAACACAGTAAAGTCAACCTGGACAGGGAGTGAGGGGAGACAGAGAGCGCTAGCACACATTCTGAGCAGATACCAGGGCTCCCAAAATCTCCAACTGTATTAACGAGTTTGCGCTAGGTTATCTTTAACTGACACAATCAGGACCTTAGCACTTCTATTCAATACAAGTTAACAATTGCATGCAGCAGCTTGAGATCTAGACCACACACACACACACACACACACACACACACACACACACTGTCAATACAAATTCACAACATGATCATTAGGCCCTGTCAGGAAGCAGTAGTGTGCTTTTATGTTGGATGTTCCTAAATGTAGTCGAACTACCACAGAGCAGATCTGGGGCCAGGTATTCCAGCATAGAAAACCTGTGCACATTGTGCAGAGAGGTGGAGGAGCAGGAAGGAATAAGGGCCCACAGTCCATTTCTCCCCACAACCACCTGTCAGGTCAGCCCAGCCCAGCCATAGTACTAACATTAGTGATAAATAACTAATAATAGCTAAAATAATGCTTTCTTGCCAAATATTGTTTCTCCATGTTGTTATGTAGGTACATGTATTTACTTACTTAGACAAACAGCATTTATTAGAGTTTAAAATCTTACTACTTCCTGTTTGCTCTGGGTAACTCTGGCCACCTTAACGGAAACATTCATTAATCCAATCAGAGAGGCCCAACTCCCCCCCTCCCTCAGGCAGTAAACAGGAGATCACATGGGAGAGGGAACACCATGAGTGTACCCCTGTATGTGTGTGTGTGTGTGTGTGTGTGTGTGTGTTACTGTTACTGACCACAGTAAAATGGCGGAACGACTAGAAACTGAAGACATAATATCAGAGCTCGTTAAAGTCATGCACATCACCCACTTTCCCTTTCACACTAGCCTTGTCTTTTAAAAGCATGGAAATCGCTTTGCTCATCTCCATTTGCCCACTTAACCCAGGCTTGTCACTGTTTGCTGACCTTTGACCCCTGCATCTTGTGACAGTGATCCTTTGTGCTTATGGATGGAAATCAACTCGGTCACGCTCCCTGAACAGATTCCAGTTACATCCCTAAGCGGGCTATTGCTTATTTGTCACACACCAACAGCAGTCATAAGAGGGAAACCTGACACTGCTGCACATACTGGGAATATATTAAAGGGGCGCTCCATTCTGTTAGCACTACAAACACACCTTTTTATAGTAGCCTAAATGGCTGCTACTTGGGGGGTGCTCTTACATCCATTTTCAATCCAGAACCTCAAGCTGGCTTCCCCAGTAGAGGGTCAGCATCTTCCAGTGAGAACGCCACCCAGGCTTATCCTGGATATTAACTGCTCACTGTGTTAAAGTCAGTCCTCGGACAGCTTGTTCGCCTTCTATTGTGTTTTCGTGAGTTGTGCATCCTCCTTGTGTCACCATGACTAAGTGAGCTTCTAGAAAAAGAAGGGTTCTCTGTGGAAACACTCACACATGCCAAGAGAACCTGCTGTGGCATTCGCGCTGCATTCTTTCACATCTCCTGGAGCGACAGCTGGTTGTTATGTGGTTATCAGGGATGCAAATATCCTGCCTGGTGTTTGCTTCTCCCTCCCATGGTACAGTGTAATAATTTACTGCGACTCATACCTTGCTTCACACACAGTGAAGGAGAGAGCATGAGATAGCGACAGAGGAGGACTGAAGAGGAAGGCAAAAATGCCAGACACGGTTCCTGTACTTTCCATTACCACCCATCTCGTCACTCTCCCTAGTAATGTTTCAGTGAGAAATCCCAGGACTATTTGCTGTTTGTGCTGCAGCTTCCGCTGTTTATTTAGGGAATGCTGCATCCTGTATTTGCCTTTGTGTGAATATTCATGAACCAACTCAGAGCAGTAGTTGTGATTTGCCTGGTGCTGCTTTGCAAATGATCTCATAAGCAGCCATGATGACTAACCCAAAAGCAATGTCCTGAAATATCAGTTCAGCACCAGTCTACCCTGTGGTTATTCTAAGCTAGACCACCTGGAGGCACTGTCACAAACACCAAGTCACCCACTGAAAGTGTGTTTAGACTAAGCACAAAGCAACGTCTAGAGGCGAAAGAAGTCAATGTGAATTCTCACACTGGGTGGCACAAACTGAAGCCAAACATCTGCACGAAATGAAAGTGGTTCAGCTTGAGCAAAAGATGTGCACTGACATGAGCCCACCTCATAAATACACAGATATAAGAGGAATAATGAGAATGTCTGAAAGAACCTGGTGAGTCCTCACATCAGTCAGATATAAATGCCACTCTCTAACTACAACTAACGTCTCTAGAGGTTATAGCGTCAAATCCATGTAGATATGGAGGAAACTTGCATCCCATTTAAACACACCTTATTCATGCAAATTTAAAAAGCCTGTTAAATTTTCACATTTTACCTTTTGCACTTAACATGATGATCTAAAACATTTCTCCAAACTTCACACACTAATTCTGATAGACCGAAATGTCAGTTAAGGTTTGTGTTTCATATCAACAAGCTTTTGCAGTTAACACCTTTGTCTTCTTGCTTTTTGCTGCTATTAAATATTGCTTGATACTTACCCCGACACATCAAACTGCTGCCTATACAGCACATTCATCAATGTAACACTGTCTACTTTCAACACTGAATTCAAAATGAAAGACTGCATCAGAGGGCAAGATTTTATTTTCACAAGATAAATATAGAAAACAAATGTGCTGTGGAACTCTCGACTCTGACACATCTTGATGCCATTGTACATTTTATTCTTGTTTTTCGATGTCACCTGCTCTTGATGCACATTGCACAACATCTTCCAGCACAGAATGACCAGGTTATTCTGAGACAGAGCTGCTGCTGGGGGAGGTTTTCAGCACCTTAAATCAAACAACCAAAAAGAGACCAGGCAACATTCTGCTACAGAAATAAAAGATCACAGCAACAGGAGCTTCCAGTCAACACATTCATTAGGTAGAATGGGACAAACATGTCAGACTTGTTTGGCAGGAAGAAGAACAGAAAATTCCCCGTCCTGGCCAAGTTTCGCTTCACTGCTGTTCTATACTACTGTCCTTCAGGCACTGGCAGGGGGAGGCACCTGCATTCCGAATAAGGCATTGAAAGAAAAAAGCCTGCATACGGGCATGAAAATTACTCAACATCAACTCAGGATAAGAATGAAAAAGAATCCAAGTATAACTGATTTTGACACAGAAACAAAAGGCGGGAGCATTGTCGTTTCTTATATACAGCGTTATAATGATGTCATAAGCAGTTGTTTCTTGGATGGATCTGATGAGGGAAGGAGATGATTTCCGTAAGTGTTAACACGTCACTGTTTTTAACTCAAAATTGTAAAAGACCAAAGTGCAAAAACACATCCTTCCCCCATTATCGTCTTCCTACTCTCAACAGAATCGTCCATTCAAACCATTTCTGACAGACAGAGCACAGAAAAGCTAAAAGCAACGTGAACTCATGTTTGACCCGCCTACACCTTCTGACAGCCAGGGATCCATAAACCCTTAGCATCACCCCGCTTATAACAATTATCCATTTGCATCACTATACATTATACAGATTGTAAAATGTTTGTCTACTTGTATAAAACACATATCCAAAATGGTGTGAATGGAGAAATGAAGAGTGCAGTCACAGGAGGTGGTGGAGAAAGAGGGATTAAAAAAGAAGGGGGAAGTAAAAGGTAAAGATCCATCCATTTTCTAAACCGCTTAGTCGCAAACGGGGTCACGGGGGGGCTGGAGCCAATCCCAGCCAGCTGCGGGCGAAAGGCGGGGTACACCCAGGATAGGTCGCCAGCCCATCGCAGGGCTAACACATAGACGAACAACCACACACACACGCACTTCTATGGGCAATTTAGAGACACCAATCAACCTATGCTGCATGTCTTTGGACTGTGGTAGGAAGCCGGAGCACCCAGAGAGAACCCACGCAAGCACGGGGAGAACATGCAAACTCCGCAAAGAAAGGCCCCAGGTCGAACCCAAAACCTGCTCGCTGTGAGGCAACAGCGCTAACCACTGAGCCACCGTGCTGCCCGGTAAAATAAGATGCACTGGGGAATCAGAGTGGCAGACAGGAACGGGACTTGAGACGGGTCAAAGTGGGAAGGTGAATGAGAGAGGGATTCATGCTTTCTCAGATGGAGGTTCTATCGAGTGTGTGTTCATGTGTATTTATAGAGCAGGGGGTGGTAATCAACAGCCTCATTAAGTCCTTCTGGCAGGAACAGTTCAATAGAAACACACACAGCTCCCGTCGTCATCACTGCACGCGGGTGCACGGCCATTCAGCTCTCCTGGAGGAGCTCTTAGTTCCGGAGAGCAGCCAACCTGGAACATGGCAAAATATGGAACAGTGTGAATGTTGTGAAATCTACCTTAAAGGTGCAGTGCACGAAGGCACGTTTCCCAAATGTTACTTTTACACCCAACACTATTTAGAGGGGGAAATGGAAACCCAGATTTGATTGAATGCACAAACTGGCTGTCAATTATAATATATATGAGATTTGACCATACTGTTCATACAGATATTCCATCTGCACCTTTGGCAGTCACCGTGCACAGGTTTAGTAATAGCTTATTTCTGATACAGTATACTGTATATGTGGCTGCATAAATGTTGGTTGGTAAAAAAACACAGTGCACGGATGTCAAATCAAGTTTGAGGTAATTCAGAAACAGTGTCTCTATCCCACAGTTTGTCCACCAGAGCTCAATCCTGCTCAAGAGTCACCTTGGTCACAGCTGTATGTATGTAAAACATTATTACTGTCAGGTTAATAAGGTCACACTGTGGACAGACCAAGGTATCGCCTCTCTTGTGGGTAGTATGTGACCAGGGTTACGTGCTCAGTACAGAAAGCCAGTTAAGCAAAGACACCCATATGTGTACGCACTCGTTCAGTCGTGACTTTGCAACCACAACACTGGTGTTTCGTGTGTGGGGCTATTACCGTTCCGTGCAAGCTCATTTCCTGATCTTATTCTCTAATCTAACAGCAAAACTGCAGATTCATGTGCTACTTGTTGACATGTTGCCACAGCATGAAAAGACTCGTGATAAGAGTGGGAGAACTGTCTTGCTAAAGGAAACATGAGCCAGACACACAACCTGTAACCCCATACTGGCTTGGACTGGGTCCAGACGCCGGCCCTTACCGTCGAGACAGATGGTCCTCCTTCTCTTGGCCCCGTGAGCTCTCTGCACCCACTGAGGTAGCTCCTGCCGGCAGCTTGCCGAGCTGGTCCATCACCTCCAGGCCACTCTCCTCTGCTATCTGGTGGATCAGGTCATCCACCTGCTCCTGAGGCGTTGTCAACGTCATGGCAGAGCTCATGGAGTCCTCCATCACCTGGGGATGAATTGAGTGGAAGCAGAAAAAAACAAACCTCAGGTGACAAAGTGCAGAGCTGGGTTTCATTTTCAATACAGTAAATACAAGACAGTTGACCAAGACCCTGTCTGAAAACATGCATAAACATCGCTGGCAGCCACTCACTGAGGTGTGGACATCGAGGTTCTGTACTTGACTTTCAAACTTATCCATGACTGCAGAAACCTTTTGGAGGTCCATGGAGCTCAGAGCTTTGTCCAGGGCCTTGGTGACCTGGCCCATGTTTTTGGTCACCTGATGGACAAAATGTCACATTTGTCTAACTGGGCAAAGACAAAAACAACCTCGTCTTGTCTCCTCCCAAAACTCATCAAAACAGAAGAAACATTCATTTATAATCCAGTGTGAATGTACTGTACTCTAAGGCAGCGTGCGTTAGTGAGTGCACTAATCACAGTCACTTACCCCCTTCATGGTGACGGCAGTCTGGACTTTCGAGGCGACCGCATCCACTCGTGACGCCATGCGCAGCCAGTTAATGCCTTCATTTTTTTTCCGGATGGCATTCTCTGCATAAACTCTGGCACATTCCACATTCTTCTGTTGCAAAGCCTGGAGCCAATAACACTGTTAACTCTCCAAACCTTATAAATATATCTACATTTATAACTATATTTATATAGTATAAATCAGCCATGTGCGTGTAAACATGCAGCCTGATATCAGGACAGTAATCCTGTTTGTCTAATATGTCTAATCGAAAAGTGCAGCCCATCTGAAGCTGGTAATAATATCAATCAAAATCCTTTCAGCAAACAAAAGGGAAGACTTTCATCCATCCTCATGTGAGCAGTTACACTAGATATGAGAAGTGAAGACTATCATGACTCAGCAGGGAAATGTCTCTGGCCAGTGAGATAGAAAAGGCATGAGCTATGTAACATCCCCTTTGTTCCATGACTGATCTGGATCTCTCTCCTGTGATCCCCAAACCAAACATGCATTTAAAACAGAAACAGAGATGCCCAGAGATTACCAGTTATCTAAAAACTTAAAAGCTATATTTTGCTAAAATTGTATCCAATTTGTTCTTTGATATAGAGAGAGATGGGCAGACAATGGTAAAGCTTGTTTGACTTCGGTGAAGTGTAGAGCTGCTGTCAAGTGAAGAGAACCTGACCACTGGTGCTTCACTGAGCCAGGGAGTTATTAAAGTTTGGCAGTTGAACTGTACGACAGGCACATCGGTGGAATAAGACAAGAGGATCATCACCAGAAAGACACGTATGAGAGAAATCCTCCTAGCTCTAATGTGATCAGAGGATTAGCATCGTTTGATGACTGTCACATTGCAGTACGACTCCTGTGACTTCTTCTATAAGTATCAACCCACTGCACGCTGACACTGGACCTTCAATCTAAAACTGTTCAGCCAGTGAAGAGCACTAGTGCCTCAGCTCCAGTCTGCAAGTGCTGCTCTGAGTTTTACAAGCCACCAGATGTCACTGTGCTTTCTTTGCTTGAAGCCCTGACGCGTTCAGTCTTTACCTGGCACAAGCAGAAAGACCCAAAGCTTCATCTGCTCATCACTACCTTTATCATTTTTCTATATCATGTAGCTCACTTTTATTTTAAATTCTTACTCTTCATATTGGTCTAGGGCAGACCAATGTGTGTGTGTGAATACATTTGTATGACTCATGCGGTTAGAACAAAGATCAGAAAGCATAACATAAATAATTAAAACTAAAAGGTGAAGCCTTGGTTTAAGGGTTAGAGTAAGTCTGTAGAAAACAAATATAAGTCAACAATCTGTCCTCGTACATGATGGTGGCACCACGAATCTGTGTGTGTGTTTAACACCAGTGGAATAGGAGCAGTGTGTGGCTAGCTTATTTGAAAACACCGACAGTTCAACAAACTACAGAGCGGCCTTCTCAGCTAGCTACCTAGCTGAGGCTAACTTCTGTACTAAAACTAGACCAGCAGTGGAAATGTTAATACATTCATAAACCGCATACTGTTGTGGTTTCTTTGTATAAAATTTGAAAGCAGTTAAAGAATTTTAATTGGCAAGCTAATGCAAACTAGATTAGCACCTTAACCATTCAGCCACCCCATCACCTCAGTGGCTTGGCCTTATGTTTTCTTACCTTCTTGACCTTGGCCTGCTCCTTTTCAGACTCCTTCTCTGCCTTTTTGGCCAGTCTCTCAAGCTGCTTCGCAGTAAACTGGGAGCACAGAGAATAGAAACGTACATAAAACTAATAAATGATTCATGTGTACAAGGTATGTCAAGCTTGTACAGAGGAAACATGTTCATGGATACATACCCTCAACTGGAAGAGTGTTTCTGCAGAGCAAAGGTGAGAGGCAGAGTTAAAAATATGAAGTGTACATAATGTAAATATACTGACTACATGTCTTTGCTTGAAAGAGACCACATTTCACTGACAAAGTACATATGAAAAAAGAAAAAGTAAGATGTGCAGCACCCTTTACTTCTGACCAACTCCATACATAATGGATGTTTCCAGCAACAGATGAACAAACGATATATACTTGACGTTATTATAACATTAATTACATGTTTTTTTTCTCATGTCGTGATTTTGTGGGACCATCAGACTGGTGGGCTTTGTCAAAAGACAGCACAAATATGATTCAAAAACTACAAACAAATACACAGCATGAAACAGTAGAGAAGGGGTCTGATGTCAGATAGAAAGCATTGCATGAGCACAGGAAAGCACTCTTTACTGCAAATGTATTAATATACATTTTAAATAACAACTAAAATGTCACTAAAATATAATTAAAAATGGTAATGCATAAAGTCCTGGGATAAATATTAATTTTTTGCCCACCGTCTCAGTACTTTGTACACATCCAGACCTAACAAACTGTCTAAAGTTAAATGTGTCTGGTTTGTCGAAGCTACACTCATCAAATCCACAGTTACATAGAGTGTGCCATTCCTGGGTTAACAGTCATGTGCTACGAAAAGGTTTAGTGGCAGTCAGCTTTAAGGCAAGATGCTCAATCACACAAAAGGACAAATCAATAGTCAATTTTTCAGATACGTATAGATATAATAAACGAATCATCCGAATATCAGAAAAGGTCTAACAGGTAACCTGACAGCTAACCTAGCTAACCACACCCGCCCAAGCTAACAAGCTAACGCTATCTATCGATGATTAAATGGTACAGCTAAAACCAAACCAAGGCAAAGTCTATCAAGGTGGAAAATTCTGTCTTAAAACACAACATACCATCCATCTTCCGGCAAATATAAGTAAAGAAAATCACGGAAAAATAACTTTCAGCTCCACAACAGGTTAATCTTGATTTGTTTTGATAACTGACACCGCACTTCCTGGTGTAAGAATGATCACGTGATCTTTGTCTTCTTCGCTTATGTCTTTGTTTGTTGCATCCTGCGCAAGTATGATATTGCCATCTCCTGTCGCAAGGTGGGGGGCTATAGTGGCTATAGTGGCAGAGTTAGAAAGATATTTGCAGATTCGAAGTTTCCAGATCAGTAGCGAGACGTTGCTATAATACAAACGATGCCTCTTTTGTTTCGTAGTAATGTGGACAATAAGCTACAAGCTCCTTTTTTTTTTACAGGCTCCGGTACTCTACCGGAAACAAATTCCTTGTGTGTAGCATACCTGGCCAATAAAGGTGATTATCATAATGAACCATAACATTGTCTCAATTGTGCAGCCAGCTGTGGCCAAGACCCTCTCCCAAGTGCAAAACTAAAAAGAGATAGGTCTGCTACAAAATATTCAATGACGTTACTCTTACCCAGTGTTGTGTTACAAAAATAACTTCACACATATAGTGGCCATCTACTGGTTAGACTTCAACCCTCATTTAGGAAAAAAGTTTTTTCATAATATGGGGGAATTTTTCTTGTCATAAATATTCAGTAACTTCACTGTTAGACAGTAGCGTGACCAAAACCACTCATCATTATGGACAGGCTAGAAACCCCATGGAAATGAATTACTTTGTATGTCAGACGCAGCATGAGGCAAGAGAAGTGGTGCAGGCTGAGGGAAGAGGAGCATCTTCAATGCTTCAGGTGAGGCTCTAATACTGGGGCCTTAAGAGGTAGTTAGGGTGTGGGGTGTTGTTGTTGTTTGTCTGATGCTTCTGAATCAATATCCTTACAATTTATAGTTGTACTATATGTGGTATGATTGATCATGTTCATATTTGGTGTCAGGCAGAGCAGAGAGAACAAAGTGACACTAGAGCTGCTGTATCATGCTCCTAAACTAAACATCTTCTGCCAAGTCATCAGGAAGATGCGTTTTTGTTAACTGCTCTTATACTGTCAGTTCAGTCATCCCTGAGTCTTGTGTGCAGCATCAGTTATACATAAGATGTTAACGTCTCCAGTAGCTTCTCAGCTGTGGGCAAACCAGTAGCCTGTGTCCTGCGTTTCTGTCACAATAATATGTAACTTGTAAATGCAAGTCACATCTTTAAGACTCCAGTGGACAGTCTGCACTGCAGAAATGATCATTGGTGCCAGCCTGCCCTCCATGGAGGACGTGTACACCTCACAGGTCAAACGGAGGGCGGAGAGGATCACTGCAGACCCCTCACACCCTGGACATGATCTGTTTGAACTCCTCCCCTCTGGACGGCGTTATAGGTCACTGTACGCCAAGACAACCAGGCACAGGGACAATTTCTTCCCCCAGGCCATCACTCTGATGAACACTTGACCCACAACAGTATGACTGGACAGTAACCCTCAGTGCAATATGTGTAAATATACATTGTACCTATAGATCCACTGAATTCAGACTGTGTATACATATATATATTTATATATGTGTGTGTGTGTGTGTGTACAGGTCTCTTTACTCTTATTTTTAAATCTGTTTTCCTAATGCACAATCTCTTGCTTGTTGATATGTACGTACACATTGAGAACCGCTGTACCAGAGTCAAATTCCACACCTGGCCAGTAAAGCTGATTGTGATTCTGATTCTAAACCTGACAGCTGGTAATTTCATCCTCTGTTACCATGTTTATAGAAATTACATGTTTGGGTAAAACTACAGTCAGGGAAAAAAATTATTTGAACCCCAACTGATTTTGTAAGTTTGCCCACTAACAAAGAAATGATCAGTCTACAATTTCAATGGTAGGTTTATTTGAACAGTGAGAGACACAACAATAACAAAAAAAATTCAGAAAAATTGTTACAAAAAAGTTATACATTAATTTGCATTTTCATGAATGAAATAAGTATTTGATCCCCTATCAGTCAGCAAGATCTCTGGCTCCCCGGTGTATTTTATACAGGTAACGAGCTGACATTGGGAGCCCTCTCAGCTCGTTACCTGTATAAAAGAGACCTGTCCACAGAAGCAATCAATCCAGATTCCAAACTCTTCACCATGGCCAAGACCAAAGAGCTTTCCAAGGATGTCAGGGACAAGATTGTGGACCTACACAAGGCTGGAATGGGCTACAAGACCATCGCCAAGCAGCTGGGTGAGAAGGTGACAACAGTTGGTGCGATTATTCACAAATGGAAGAAACATAAATTAACTGCCAATCTCCCTCGGTCTGGAGCTCCATGCAAGATCTCACCTCGTGGAGTTTCAATGATAATGAGAATGGTTTGGAATCAGCCCAGAACTACTCGGGAGGAACTTGTCAATGATCTCAAGGCAGCTGGGACCATAGTCACCAAAAAAACAGTTGGTAACACACTACGCCGTAACGGACTGAAATCCTGCTGTGCCCGCAAGGTCCCCCTGCTCAAGAAAGCACATCTACAGGCCCATTTGAAGTTTGCCACTGAACATCTGACTGATTCAGAGGAAGACTGGGTGAAAGTGTTGTGGTCAGATGAGACCAAAATCGAGCTCTTTGGCATTAACTCAACACGCCGTGTTTGTCCCCACCGTCAAATATGGAGGTGGAAACATTATGCTTTGGGGGTGTTTTTCTGCCAAGGGGACAGGACAATTGCACCGCATCAAAGGGAGGATGGATGGGGCCATGTACCGTCAAATCTTGGGTGAGAACCTCCTTCCCTCAGTCAGGGCATTGAAAATGGGTCATGGTTGGGTATTCCAGCATGACAATGATCCAAAACACACGGCCAAGGCAACAAAGGATTGGCTCAAGAAGAAGCATATTAAGGTCATGGAGTGGCCTAGTCAGTCTCCAGATCTTAATCCCATAGAAAATCTGTGGAGGGAGCTGAAGGTTTGAGTTGCCAAACATCAGCCATGAAACATTAATGACTTGGAGAGGATCTGCAAAGAGAAGTGGGCCAAAATCCCCCGAATTGTGTGCAAACCTTGTGGCCAACTACAAGAAACGTCTGACCTCTGTGACTGCCAACAAAGGTTTTGCCACCAAGTACTAAAGCATGTTTTGCAAAGGGATCAAATACTTATTTCATTCATGAAAATGCAAATTAATGTATAACTTTTTTGTAATGCATTTTTCTGGATTTTTTTTTTTTGTTGTTGTTATTCTTGTGTTTCTCACTGTTCACATAAATCTACCATTGAAATTGTAGACTGATCATTTCTTTGTTAGTGGGCAAACTTACAAAATCAGCTGGGGTTCAAATAATTTTTCCCCTGACTGTATAATATTAAAAATGTTCATAACTCTAGAGTTGACCTGGCCATTATAATTATATTTCTTTTCATCACAAATGCTGTGTTATTTTCTGGGCACCACCTAGACAGCCGGCGGTTGAATGAAGACA